TCGCCTCTCCCCTATCTTTACGCCGCCACCACTCAAGCTGCATCTCCCGCAGTCTTTTCCCCCAAACAAACCCTATAATTCCCCCTCCGAACCCCCAAACTCTCCAGAGATCATTGGCAGCTCCAGTATCGATTCAATCCAACAAGAATCCGAAGACTTATCTGTGATCCGCAATCAACTTCATCAAATTGAAGCCCAACAGTCCAATTTATTCGATCTCCTCGAGACGGCAGTTGGTTCAGCGAACTCGTTCGCGTATCTATGGCAAGTGTGTTGCGAGGTTTCTTGGTCGATTCTCGTTTCAGTCCTTAGAGAAAACCCTACCTTTGGTATTGATGATCGGTATGTCGATTCTCAGCGGATTCATGATATAAATCCCTGTTTAATTAGTGGATTCAATTGTCTTTTGCTGTCACGAAGAGGGTAAGTCTGAAAAGGGTAAGTCTAAAGAAATAGGACACGAAGAGGATTCAGAGGGTAAACTTTTATCCCCATCTTCAAAAGAAGCCAAGCCGAGTTCTTATTGTCCGTCCTCAGCCACACCTGGAGTTCCCCTGTACCCTCTTCAGTTAGATGTTGTAAAGCATCTTGTGAAACTGTCACCAGTCAAGGCTGTTTTAGCATGTGTTTTTGGGAATTGTATTTTATATGGTGGCAATGACTACTCATCAACCATGTCAGGCTCGTTGACTAATGGGCCAGGGTCAGTCCAGAAGCATGATGCTGATAGATTGTTCTTTGAGTTTGCACTTGATCAATCCGAGAGGTTACTTTTATCTTTTCTCCATATATAACTGAATTCAGTTAGTTGGTTACCCGATTTTGAATGCCATTTAACTTCTAATTCAGGTTTCCGACCTTGAATCGGTGGATACAAATACAAACTAATCTTCACCGAGTTTCAGAGGTAGCTGTAACTGCTGAGCATTCGGTTAATGATGGAATTGAGGCGAAAACTTCTGTGAAGAGGTTTCGGGAGCATGATAGTGATTCTGATTTAGAACATGATGAGTTGGTGGCGGTTGGCACCAGCAGCCTTTCTGTTCTTACAGACACTACAAATGAAAGTGGTATATGGCAAGATTCACCCAAGTCAGAAGTTGTTGAAATTGATACAACAGTTTTTCTCTCTTTTGGATGGGAGAATGAAAAACCGTATGAAAAAGCTGTTGAAAAATTTAAAGTTGTATCCAAAAATTTGTTATTAGTCGGTGTTGGCATTCTAATAGAATATCATTCTAATAGAAATATATATCCTGAAATTCATAGAGAATATGATTCTAACAGAATGTCATTCTAACAGAATAATATACATGGTTTTGTTTGTTATTAGTGAGTATTTCATTGTTATAGACTATTATATAAAGTTTTTACATTTTTAAGAATGTAATGAAAAATTTGAAGTTGTATCCAAAAATTTGTTATTAGTCGGTGTTAGCATTCTAATAGAATATCATTCTAATAGAAATATATATCCTGAAATTCCTAGAGAATATGATTCTAACAGAATGGCATTCGAACAGAATAAAATCGTGTTTAATTATAAAAATTACGTTATAATTAAAACTAAAGTAACTAAAAAATTAGAATTTTAAAATCAAGAGAATTAATTATCCCAAAAAATATGGAATTTTCCTTTTTTAAATTTATCTCAATTGTCTAAAATACCTTTAGAATGAAATTAGATGATATTTTTTCAACTATCTTTAATTTAATAATATGTATTAATCACTTTCTTAAAATAAGTAAAATGATTGGCCCACATTTATGCATAAAATAACACAATAATTAGTTTAAATAGAATAACCTAAGCCTATATATATATATATATATATATATATATATATATATATATATATATATATATCCCTAAACCTACACGGCAGTGTTAAAACCTTTTTGGTAGGAATCTTTTAATTTGTCATTATGGTTTCAAATTCTTCTCTTGCAACAACTATAAACCTCCCATGTTTAGACCTTTCAAAGCTATTACTACCTTCATCTATATCATCTCTTTCTGAAGCATGTCATCACTGGGGTTTCTTCAATATTGTCAATCATGGGGTCTCCAAGGACCTTTATGAAAGTATCCATTCTTTCTCTAATCAATTCTTTGATCTCCCTAGTGAAACAAAGCTTAAACTTGGTCCTTCTTCTTGTATCAAAACTTACACTCCTCCATTCATTGCATCTCCTTACTTTGAAAGTTTGAAGGTTTGTGGACCAGATTTTCATTCATCAGCTCAAGATTCTATTGATGTGATCTTCGACGAAAAACCTCACGAATTCTGGTAAGGATGTTGATCTTTTGATTAAACCTTTGTAAGTGTGGGTTCATTGTCGTAGCAAAATTATCAATATAGTTTCAAAAATGAGTTTTATCACTGTGGAACGTATATGTTTCATTATAAGCTAACTATTTTGCTTGCATCTATATTGAAATTGGCAAAAAAATTCTTGAGCTTTCATTATGAACTATCCATTCTGTTGCAAAAGTACAAAAAAACTGTCAAAAGAAGGCTACAAGAATCTATAAACGGGTTTAAAAAGTTTTCAAGAATGATGAATGGATTTTTAATTGTAAATTATCCATATGTTAATATTGATAAAGCATAAAATATGTCGTGTAGTGATTGATATAGACATTTTTTAATGGTTAATTTGCAATTAAACTACAACCAATGTGCAGTCACTTGCCCACTGCACCAGCTCACTTTGTGTGTATGATTTGATATAGTATAATTTAGTGACAGTTTTTTTAAATTCTTAAAGCACCGCATAATATATAAGACAAGACTAAAAATATATATGTGGACCAAGACCACTCACGCAATTTGTAAAGGAGCTTTTTCCAAAAAGAGAAATAATAATGCATTTTGTAATCAATTAAATATTATGCACTTGTAATTAGTTGTAACTGATGTCTGATATGAACGATTATGTATTTTTGGTTGCTTTTATAGTGAGATATTAGAAGAGTATGGAAAGAGAATGACCAAACTGTCTAATAAGATCATGAAGATCGCGTTAATGATTCTAGGAGAAGAATTCGACACAAGATTTTATAATTCAGATTTCAAGAAGTGTCATGGTTATCTAAGGATAAACAGATATTCTCCACCAATGAAGTCAGAAGGAAAAGAAACCACTGAATTAGGTCTAGGGATGCATACTGATATGAGTTGTATAACTATTGTGTATCAAGACGATTCAGGAGGTTTACAGGTAAAATCTAAAGAAGATGGGAGATGGATGGACATTGCTCAAAGTGAAGGGACCTTAGTTGTAAATATAGGCGATTTGTTGCAAGCTTGGAGCAACAACAAACTCGTATCATCTGAACACAGAGTCGTCTTAAAGAAACCAGTCAATCGGCTTTCCATTGCTTTCTTTTGGTGTTTTGAAGACGAGAAGGTGATTTATGCTCCTAAAGAAGTTGTAGGGAACGGGAATATGAGATTCTATGAGCCATTTGTTTGCTCGGATTACTTGAAATTTAGAGAGAGCAACGAAGAAGGCAAGTTCGAAAAAGTTGGGTTTACAGTTAAAGATTTTGTCACAAATAATACCAAATCATCTGTATGAACCTACATATCAAACTGGATTCTGTACTTGAATGCATTACAGCGTAAATCGTTGGTAAATAGTTACTTCGTCTGGTTTATTATATATGTATAGTTGATTACGTACGATTGTTATTGTTTTCAAGAAAATTTCAAGCATGCATATTGTATAAATTTCAGTAGTGTTTATAGAAACTCTTAAAGAAATAATCGCATCACTTATGTTTGTAACCTGTTTAAGACATAGTGGTTTACTATTATTTATTCGATTTTAATTAAATTAACCACCATCCATCACTTTTAACGTTGATGCATTAAACAAGTTATTTAACCATTTTTATGCATATTACCTAATCCGATTAAGATTAAGCAATTAGTGGGCATAAATGGAGAAACTGAT